GCTCGGACAGCCCGACGTGAGACTTGGGGGCAGCGTGTAGAGGTGGTTGATGAGGCTAGGCACGTACTGCATGGCCGTGAGGAGGGCCTGAAGCGAGACACCGGTCGTCAGCATGTCATTGAGCTTGCCAGCAATGTGCTTTGCCTTGTCGTTCAGCTGCTTCTTCATCCACTCGCGACGGCCAATCGGCGTTCCCAAGACCGTCATGCCCGTGTTGGCCGTCTCGCGCATGGCATCTGGCAATACAGACTTGATAGCAGTGATGGAAGCCGAATGGTGGCGAGGCATGTAGAAGCGGCTCTTACTGGGCTGCAGATGAAGGCCAGCAGACTCTGCACGAGCCTTGACAATCTCCACGTCGGCCGCCACGTCCTCCGCGGGACCCATCAGTACAATGTCGTCGAGGTATTTGATGATCTTGCAGCGGTAGTCAGTGCTGGCGTCGAGGAGACCCAGGACCTCACAGGAGTACAGGGCAAAGAAGAAGGGCGATAGCTCGTTGCCCTGCACAATGCCTTGGCCAACATCAATGTCAATCACCTTGAAGAACTTGTCGACAATGCAGTGGGTAGTGGGTCGAGCATAGTGTCGTTCAAAGGCGCGCAAGAGGCCAGGGACCTTGTCGGCCACAATCTCGTGCAGCCGTGCTCGGTCGGTGTAGTTGAAGGCACTCTTGAAATCGAGGGAGAGCATAGTCCAGCCCGGGGTAGACTCACAGGCTTGAAGCTCACCAAAGGCCATGCCAACCGCTGCTGAAATGCCGTCCTTGACTCTGACAGCCAGCTCTGGACTGGCCTGTAGCAAGTGGGCAATATGGGGCTGCTGTTGCTCGAGCAGAGCGCGGTTGACAACCTTGTTGAAGATGGAATCCGTGCCCACGGGTCGAAACTTGCCATTGGCCTTCTCCAGGATAGTGTAGTTGATGGAGCAAAGGGCATGTCGAATCGACTCGGGCACGGTGTTGTTGGCAATGTGGTGAAAGATCTTGTTCAAGGCAACCTGAGGACCTCCAGTGGCGGTGGTGGGGCCCTGAGGCGCGTCTCCATCAGAAGGAGCAGTCGGGTCGCTGGTAGGACCCTGGCGTGGGCCCAAGACTTGACTGAAGTGCTCCTTGATGCGGTAGATGGAGGCAAGAAGCTCACCAGACCAACCATAGGGGTCAGTGACGCCCTTCGTGGCCGCCAACGCCTTGGGGAGCTCACCCTTGGTGAAGGAAACGGTTGGGGAGCTCACAGCCGTGGCTGGTGCCAGTGTAGACGTGGAGGCGGGTGTCGAAGCAATGTACGGGGTCAGCCCGGGCGGTACCAAGAGGTCGCGCACGGCCTGAACCTCAGAATTACCAATCACGGCACGAGCCTTGTCGGCATCAAATGCTTGGCAATCTGACCTCGGTCAGACG